TGAAAGCACTGTACCATGTTCAAGGTTATCAGCGCAGGATTGCCTGGGCTTTCAACAAGAAAGTTAAGTCCAGGAATCTAAAGGAAGGAGATTTTGTACTCAAGGATAACAGAGCTCCCATTCACGACCCTAGGGGCAAGTTCAGACCCAATTGGACTGGTCCCTACATCATCAAGTCATTAGAAATCCACTCTCTCTCAAGAACTCTTCTTCCTCTCCTAGAGCTTCTCTCTCCTCTTCAAAACAAAGATACAACAAATGGTAGGTTTCTCTCTCTATTGGCTGACTTAACTCTCAGCTCGGACACGTGGCGACGGCTGGTTGGTTCTCTTCAAAAAGGTGATAGATTGACAAGACAAGACTATGACAAAGCGTATCTAACAAGCTACTCGGCAAAGCACTCCGGCAAGGGGTGACATCGGCTAAGGACAAGGCTTCGGCAACTAAGGTGACAATGACCTCGGCTAGGAAGGACAACACTTGACTAAGCTGTGCCATACCTTGGCCTAGATGTGCCACACCTCGGTCTAGGTCATACCACTCCAGGACCAGATCACTCAGGTGCAAAGGTAACATCTCGGCCTAGATAATACACATCTCGGCTTTGGTGATTCACACCTCGACCTAGATAATGACATCTCGGCCAATATGCCAAGGCGAATGTGGAGGTCAAACAAAGGGGTTCCAAGATACTTCTAGATTGAAGATGACCTCGGCTTGGAATGATCTAGGCGTAACGTAACCTAGGCTTGGAATGACTTCGGCTAAACATAACTTAGGCTTGGGGTACCAAGGAAGGAACAAAGCAAGCACACAACACTTAAACAAATCACATAGGCATCAAAACAAGGCATGGATCTTACTTAGGCAAAACAAGTCAAGATTCATGAATGCAAACTTAACAAGACAAAGCTATATAAACGAACATGAACATGGCTACAACATGAATATGGGTTGCTACAGCAATCTAACATGGAAAAATATATAAATGCATGCAAACATGACTTGGCCAAAAATGTGGGTTGTTACAATTAGAGCTATCTGTGAGTAACAACTCTGTAAAGCTATGTTTCATTATAAGTATTTTCATAATTATAAGATATGATCTGTTTTATGAATTGTTTTTTTGTGAATCCTGAATTATTGTCCAATTTTCTGAAATGTATTTATGGCATCCTTAGCATCAAGTGTTCATGTGATATTTGCGACCTAGTACCAGGGTTTCAAGTCATGGAACTGGTTATGCATAACCGCTTATATGATCTGTATGTGGGTCTTTATGACCATCCCAAGTGAAAGTGGGTCTTAATGACCAAGTGATTTGTTAGCTAATGGAAATACCACGTTGTAGACACCCTATTTTTTACTGCCCTTATGGCTTGGGCACCATTACTTGCTCACCTAATGATGAATGTATATGCTTGTTAAGTGCTTAAAAGTCCTTAGCGGAATGTCACAGCTCTAAACCTTAAAACCTCGCAAACCTTGTGCCTTGTTTTTACACCAAAACCCCAGCCTTTCAAACCTGAGCAACTTGGGACCTGTAGGTCCATTTTTGTGGGCTGCCGGCCATCCCCTAGGCCAAGAGTGTGGCCTGTCGGCCACAAGTGAGTTTTGCAGATATTTTTTGCCAACTGTGCCAGTTATTTGCATAGATGCTTGCATCTGCTCTCACGTGTATGGATAGATGTTTCTGAGGGAGTGGACTGTTTTTTTTTTGTTTTTTTTTATTTTTTTATTATAGATATAGGACCTCCTCTCCCATTTTGAGGGTTAGAAAAAATAGAGCAAAATTAATTTTCTCTCTCTACAATTCTCTGAGCAAGAGAATTTTCTCGCTTACCTATGGAGTTACTGGTAGAGCTGCTTTTGGGAAGAAAAACAGAGATCAAGAAGAGTTCATGGAAACTGTATGGGAAAGAAATAAATCTTCTCGTATAATCCTGTTGATCAAGTCTGCACTCCTCCAAACGTTGTCGCTTTACTCCTTGAAAACACAAACGTGAGCTAGCCGGCGGGTGTGTGCCGGATACCTCTCCGATGCCTAAGTCAGCAAAATAGACAAAGACAAAAAGCTCGGTGTATTTGAGAATCAAAGTTGTGTGTTACCTCTCCATAGGTGATGTTGTAAGCTTTTATAGGTTCCGCGTGGCACAATCCTAGTACTACTTTTACTCCTCCATGTAGAGTCCTCCTAGGATTCATACTCCTGAAAGACAATGCATATCCTTCAACACCCCTCTCACTGCATAAACCAAGTGAGATGGTTCTATCATGGTCAGACTTCAACATGACCGAGGTAAGCATGGCTATGCTAAGCTGCAGACTAGATCGAGATAACATTAGCTCGGCTCTTCCATTCACTGCTCTTACCTTGGCTCTTCTTAATGCTAACCTCCGTATGTCTAGACCGGAATAACCAATACTCTGGTCCAAACCGGGATAACTTTTGTGAGTGACGACCAAACTTACCATAAGCTCTTTTGGGACCGGAGTAACTTCAGGTCTCTCGCGGACCGGAGTAACTTTACACCTCTCTTGGGCCGGAGTAACTTCATGGCCTATTTGCTCAGCCCTTCGCAATGTGGCCCATAACAGCCCATTACCCAGCTCGGCCCAATTTATAAGTACAAATTACCCTCTCAGAAACTATGGACGAACTTGTAGTGTTGTTTGGAGGGTTCAGTGTTGCTGATATGTACCCATCGGTGAAATTGCTTCAGGTGATGAGTGGAATGAGAAGAAAGCTTGAGAAATTGCATAAGAGAGTCGATCAGATACTTGAAAACATTGTTAACGAGCACAGAGAGAAGAAGGCAAAGAGAGAGAGTGGAAGAGGAGAAGCAGAGGACCTGGTTGATGTTCTTCTGAGAGTTCAGAAAGATGGAGAGCTTGAATTTCCATTGACAAACAACAACATCAAAGTTGTCATCTTGGTTAGTATACAGCTTGACTCTAGCTTCACTAGAGACTGGTTGAAATTTTAGGATCCATTATTATTTATTTATTTATTTTTCAGTGGTGGTGCCACATTTCAGGGTGTTCAAAAAAAAAAAAGGGATAAATCAATCTAATCTAACTAAATCGTAGGTCTTATTTTTTAGTTACGGTTTTGATTTTGATTCTGAAAATGATAGAATCATTCAAATTGATTTGATTCTCGATTTTAAAATTTTGATTACACTTCTAAGGGGTGATTTAGGATGTTCTAAATAAGTGTATTTTTTGACTTTTTATAAAATATGAGTTAGGTTTGAAGTGATGTGGTAGACAGATGATGTGACTTAAATAGAATAGTAACTTTTTGACTTTTTGAGTATACGCCAAACAAATCTTAAATCGAACCGAATCATCATATATTTATTTATTATTTTTATATAAAAAATTTAAAATATAAAATGTTGATGAGCTCTAACCAACTTAAATTTACCAAACTAATTGTTATTAGTTTGTTTATTAACATAAAATACATATCATATTTATTGTTACATAAAATTTATAGAAGCTTAAATCGAATCGAATTAAACCGATTTATATGGTTCAGTTTCACAAGTTGTCGGCTCAATTACAATTTTAATTTTTCTGCAACTGTGAAAAATAGTTTGATCTTTAGTTTACTCTTAAACTTAAACAATTCGATCCGTGTACACCCTACCAATAAAACACCCCATTTTTATCAAAGAGAGAAAAAGAGGAAGAGCATATATATATATATAGAGAGAGAGAGAGTAAGGGATAAGAAGTGTGTGTTCACCTCTTTACATGGACCATTCCATGTCATTAAAGGTGAATTGAAAATTCTTAATTAGAGCTCTCAAGTATTATTATTTATTTATTTAAATATATTAAGGCCTCATTTAGAAAATGATTTATAAACTATCTTATTAGCTTATTGAATTATTTGGATTACATTAAATCTTTACTTTTTTTTACATATTTTTTTATAATGAACCAAAATATTAACTTATAAGCCACTTTTCAAACCAATCTTAAGAATGTCATTATCAACTTAGGGAGCGGTATGGTGATGCTTGGGCCAAAATTCTAATACAGGATATATGGGATACGTTTGGTTTGAGTTTTAGAGATGAATTTTAGAAAAAAAAATTTAAAAAATTGTTGGTTTGAGATTTTTCTCAAAAAAATTTCAAAATCATTTTCTCTTTTACACATCAATCAATCACTTTTTCTCTCTCATCTCTCATTCTCAATCACTTTTTCTCTGACACACATCTACTTAATTACAACAAAATATCAAATCATCCCAAACTCCCAAATTCCAAAACTACTTTCAAAATATACAACCAAACAAACTAAAAAAATTTCTAAAACAACTCTTCCAAATTTTTTTCAAAAATAACTCCCCAAAACAAACCAAACAAGCCCATGGTCTCCAAGGGCTTGTTTGGCATAAATTTTTTTAGTTAAAATAATTAATAAAGATAAAAGCTATTTTAGCGAATAAGAAAAAAATATCAAATTCAAATCATAATCATTTTATTTTTCTCTCATAACCATAAAATCAACTATAAAAAATAAAAATAAAAAATAACTATTATTCTAAACATGATTTTCTTACCTATGCTAAAATAATTAAATAGTCAAAAAATCACAACCAAACGAGCACTAACTCGGGACCTAGCACTATTTTTAAAATTTATATTTAATTAAATAGTCAAATTAAAAAAGTGTATCACTATTTTTTAAATTTATATTTATTATTTATTTTTTAAATATAAATATTATAAAATTATCTGATTGTAATTATAAGGTAAATGTAAAACTTTTCATAGATAATTTTAAAATCAACCATTTTAATCATTATAGGGGTCTCCTTATTGAATGGTATATTCCATCAATCCAATTTTCAGACTGAAAAATTTCTAAAATAACATATTTATTTTCATTTTATTTTATTTTAATCACATCATTTCTTTTTTAAAGTACATTATTTCTTATATTTGTACACATATATTTTCATAAAAAAATAAAAAATTATTAAAATAATCTATATTATTTCTTATATATGTATATATATATTTTCATAAAAAAATAAAAAATTATTAAAATAATCTATTATCAAACAACCCCTAAATAGAATGTTAATTTCGTGACTTTTTTGTTAGCCCCACATCGTAGTTTAATTCAAAAAAAAATTCTTCAAAATTTTGAATAATTATTCGGCCAAATTTGCTTTTTGTTTTACTTGCGCAGCTACCAAAGCTACATGAATAGTTTTGAGAGGTGAAGTTAGCTATTTTTTATTTGAAATTTGAAAATTTTTTTATTGTATACATTTATTTTAGATTAAATTTATACTTTTAGATCCAGGACATTTTCAGTGCTGGAAGCGAGACATCATCAGGAGTTATAGAGTGGGCAATGTCCGAAATGCTAAAAAACCCAGAAATGATGAAAATGGCACAAGTTGAGGTAAGACATGTGTTTGATAGAAAAAGAAATGTCGATGAAACTTGCCTTCATGAATTGAAATACTTAAACTCAATAATCAAGGAAACATTGAGGCTACACCCCATTGTTCCTCTGTTACTTCCAAGAGAAAGCAACGAGCAATGCACAATTAATGGATATGAAATACCTGTCAAGACCAAAGTCATTGTCAATGCGTGGGCGATTGGTAGAGATCCCAAACACTGGAACGAAGCAGAGAAATTTGATCCGGAGAGATTTCTCAACAGCGCAATTGATTTCAAGGGGGCATGTTTCGAATATATACCATTTGGAGCAGGAAGAAGGATATGTCCGGGCATTGCATTTGCTATTCCTAATATTGAGCTTCCACTCGCGCAATTGTTGTACCGTTTCGATTGGAAACTCCTCGGTGGAATGAAGCAAGAAGAACTGGACATGACAGAGACCTTTGGTTTGACTGCACGAAGAAAAAATGATCTTCAAGTGATTCCCATTCCTTATCATCCTCCTCATGTTAAAGAGTGAGACCTTAAGGAAGATATATATGTTAGATGCTAGTTTTATATGTTCCTATGGTATTGTAAACTTGTAATGACTAATAAATGTGCAATCGATAGTCATGGAGTTTCTTTTCATGTTCATGGTACAAAAAGTATGGAAGGGATTCAAAACCAATAATTTATGTAACTATGTTGGTGAATCAGTGATGACTTATCATTTAGATTTGGGAATATAATGTCAAAAATAATTGTGAATCAGTGATGACTTATCATTTAGATTTGGGAATATAATGTCAAAAATAATTGTGAATCAGTGATGACTTATCATTTAGATTTGGGAATATAATGTCAAAAATAATTGTGAATCAGTGATGACTTATCATTTAGATTTGGGAATATAATGTCAAAAATAATTGTGAATCAGTGATGACTTATCATTTAGATTTGGGAATATAATGTCAAAAATAATTGTTTTTATAAGAATATTCAGAAGTCATACTTACTTTATTTTAATTAATAAAATTTAAAAAATTCACTATTTTTTGTTCTTATTTTGCAGGCAACTGTTTTGTGTGTACAATTACCTCTTTGCATTAGGTTTCATTTCCCTTGAAAAAATGTTTAAGACCCACAAATGTATCCATAATAATATGATATTTTACGTGTTAATTTTTAATTTATTATACATCTAATAATATAGGGTTCCACCCTCTTGCAATATCATTATGAATGAATTTGTGAGTTAAAAATATGAATTTGTAGCATTACTCTTTTCCTTAAGATGGTGGAATCTACTGAAATTTAGAATTTTAATTTTTTTTTAATGGATATGCAGTTGATCTGATGTAGAACACGTTAACCGTGCTGCGTGGGGGAAAGTAGGAAAGACAGCTTGAGTTCATGTTCATGGTACAGAAAGTAGGAAAGACATTCAAAACCAATAACTCATTGTGATGACTTCTTGTTTTCATTATAACAAAGTACTGTTCCCAATTGTTTGGCAATTGGTTAAAAAAGCCACCAAGTCGTTTGTCATAAGCTAAAAAAACCATCACGTCATCTTTAATTCGTAATAATTAGCTTAGCTAGTTAGTTTATTCGGACTTGCCTGTGTGAGGTCGCAACGTTGTAATGATGTGTATGTCTTCCAACCGCACGTCTTTCTCCCTTTTATTTATCAGCTTATGATGGTTAGTTTGAGGCATCATGTTTCGTTTAGCATTACTCATGTTTGCATCCATTTGTCTTGCATGCACCGAGACTTCTAACTTGCATTGTCATTTAAAATACTTCTTTGAAAAAGGTGCTTAAACTGCATGCTATCAAATTGTTTCATATGTCATATTAGTAGCCGGACCTAGTAATTGCATGTGACGATCTGGAATTATTCCCTCCGCTCGAACGGGGGAGTTGACGCTCGAGCGGACTTGTGAGGCTTCCAGTATTTTTGCAGTCTGTCCGAGATTCTGAGAGTTGTGAATTCCCGCTCGAGCGTAGGAGTGGTCGCTCAAGCGGATGACTTTGTTGGTCTGTGCGCTTGAGCCTAAGATTGGGCGCTCGAGCGGTCTACCTGGTTGAGTTTGAATTTCTGAGACTAGTGGGTTTGTTTTTGGCCTTTTATTGTTGTGTTTGGAGCCTCCCTATTTTATTTTGGGACATTGATTGAGGTGGTAACATGATGGTAAGATTGAACCAAAAATTTTAATTCGAATAATTTGCCTATAATCAGCCGTCACTCTTTTCCCCTTTTCTTTTTCATAATTTGAATTTGGGTGTGAGGCTAGAACCATTGGAAAGCTTGTTTTCGGGGCTTCAATTTGGACACAAGAACGACCTAAAACGGATTCCGGATGAGAGAGTTATACCTGTTTGAAGTTTTGGAATCTGTGCTGGAACTATGTACGCTCGAGCGGAAAAATAGACGTTCGAGCGGGCTGCACGAATTCAGCAACTTAAAAAGTGAATTTCTAGATCATTCTTTACATTTTCTTTTTCCCTCTTCCTTCCTCTCACCCTAGGTCCGAAAATCCTTGATCTCTTGACCCAAATATCTTCCATTCCTCAAAGTTTCAGCCAAGATCTCCTACCAAAAAGTGAAGAACACATGAAGATCTCATTTTCCTACCGATTGAAGTTTGGATTTGTGAAGGAACCTCATCAAAGCTTTGCAATTTTGCTTGATTCTTGAGGTAGGGGTCCTAGTTCTTCTTCAATACTTATATTAATAGATAGATTTGTGGTATTTTGATTATATAAATACAAAATCTCCACTTTTGAGCATATAGTGTACATCATGAGATTTGGGAGTTAGGTTTTGAAGTATTGGGGGTTCAATTGTTGGGTTAATGTGGTGGATTATGAACCTTAGGTGCATAATCAAGGGGAAATTCGAATTAAAAGTAGTGGTGTGAGAAGTTTCAATTTTTTTGAAATTCTTGATTTTTTTTGAAAATCCTAGGTTGATTCATGATGATAATTAATGATTTTGCCCAAATTGGAAGTAGAATCATGAAATTGAGGTATTGAATTATATATATGGAATTTGGAAGTGTTTGAAAATCATGTTAAAAATTAGCGATTGAACCTTTATTATGAATATTGTTAATCATGCTATAATATGAAATGAAAATTAGGGGAAAAAATTTGTTGATGATGTGGATGATATGGAATGTTGAAATGAGATTTAAGAATTTATCTTGAATTATGTTGAATTATATTTAGTGGTGTTGAGTTGAATCATGTTGAATAGTATTGATTATGTTGAATTGTGGTGATTATGTTGAGTTGTGTTGGTTATGTTGAAGTATGTTGGCTATGTTAAATTGTGTTGAATCATGGTGAGTTGTATTGTGTTGGGTTGTGTTGAGCTTGAGTTGTGTTGTGTTGGGTTGTGTGGAGTTTGAGTTGTGCTGTGTTGGGTTGTGTGGAATTTGGGTTGAGTTATGTTGGGTGTATGGAGTTTGGATTGAGTTGTATTGGGTGGTGTTGTGTTGGTACCCGAGCTGGGAGTTAAAAGGGCAAATTACACTAATAGTCCTTATAGTTTGAGGCTCGTGTCACTTTAGTCCCTGACTTTTCAATTGTGACGCATTTAACCCTGAATTTTGAATCTTGTCTCAAATAAGGACAATTGAACATCACATTGCTTAATTTCAAGGGCAAAATTGTCAATTTGATAAAATATAAACTAATTTGACAAAAATAAATGTCAAAAAAATATTTTAAAATTTTTAAAAATTATTTCTACCCACCAAAAATAAAATTATGTAAAATTGATAAATATTAATAAAAATTACATGATTAATTTTTAAAAATTAATTTTACATGATCATCATCCAAATACATAATAAAAATTAATTTGCTAAAAAAAATAAATGTCTAAAAGATTTATCAATTTTATATAATTTTATCTTTAGTAGATAGAAATAATTTTTAAAAATTCAAAAATATTTTTTTGACATTTATTTTTGTCAAATTAATTTATATTTTATCAAATTGATGAATTTGCCCTTGAAAAATCCAATAGTATCTTCAATTGTCCTTATTTGGAACAAGATTCAAAATTCAAGGTCAAATGTGTCACAATTGAAAAGTTAGAGACCAGAGTGACACAAACCCCAAACTATAGGGACCATTGGCGTAATTCACCCGAGTTAAAAAATAACTTTTCGGTGCCTATGATCGTCCGTATAATAGCCGATAAATGTGGGGGATGATTTTAAAAATTGAAGAAAAAAGTTTTGGGGGGCCCACGTCCCGCCGTATAGTAGCTAGCAAATGTAGGGGTGGTTTGAATTAAAGGTGCCCAATTGCCCTGTCTAGGCTTATCGCTGGACGAATGTGGAAAAATGTTTTCGGATGTCCACACAGTCCCGCCGTATAGTAGCCGGCGAAAGTGGAAAAATGATTTTTGGGTGTCCACACAGTCCTACCGTATTGTAACCGGCAAAAGTGGAAAAACAGATGGTTTTTGAAAATGTTTTGGGTGCCAACGTCCTGCCGTATAGTAGCCGGCAAACGTGGGAAATTGTTTTAAAAAGTTGAAAAATGATTTTTGGAAAAATATGATTTTCGGAAGAAAATAGCTTTTGAGAAAGTGGTTTTTGGGAGTTCACTTCCCGTCGTATAGTAGTCGGCGAAAGGTGGAAAGTGTTATGAATTGGATGCCCGCTATACCGCCGTAGTAAGTCGGCAAAAGGTGGATTGTGTTGAGATATGTGTTGACAAGTGTGTTGAGTGGATGGTGTTATTTGTAACTTGTGATGAATCGGTGAAATTGCAAATTGATGTGTAATTTGGTTTAAAGAGGAAATGTAAATGGACAATATTTGTAAAGAATGGAACACAAAAATGGCTAAGAGGATTATGGATTGGTGATGGTAAACTTAATGAATTAGTTATGTCAATAAAAGTAAATCATGAGTGTTGTTTTGTAAATAAAATGAGAGGCTGAATTGGAAATGGTGTATTAATCATGCGTTATCTTGAAATAAAACTTGGGAGTGTAAATAACGAAGTAAATTGGATATAGGAGGATTGTTAGTGACTTAAAAAGGGAACTTGAACTTGAGGTTATGGGGTTATAAATAAAAATAACGAATAGGAAAAAAAAAAATGAAAGAAAAAGGGGAATGTTAAAAATGGAAATTAAATAAGAAGTATTTTGGGAATTGGTTAATAATTTGTAAACGATGTTGTTTCTTAAATATGTTTGTTTCATAAGGATCTATGGTTTTCTAAAGTTAAGGGATGATTTTAATGGCTGAGGGTTTTGCTTAAAAGTGTTTAAATAGTTTTTGAGAAAAATGTACTTTACTTATGGTATTTTGAAATTATAAAATGCCATCCTACTATATGGTATCACCCTGCATGCATAATCATTTCTATCTGTGTGTTAGTTATTGATTTAGAACTATGAGGTTCCTACTGCGCATTAGTGCTCTCCCTTTATTGTTTTCCTTTTTTTTTTTTTTTTTGCTGTGTAGTTTACCATCATATCTCTAGCAATTTTGTATACATTTACTCACAAATCCTATACTTTTGCATACACTTCCTTAATCAAACTTGATCACGTTTGAGTTGAGGTCCTTAGAAGCCTTCTTGGAGCTATAGAAGGGGTTTTTGGCTTGAATTTGTGCCTAAAATTGTTGCTTGCTTCAAAAGGTATAACACTCCTCTTTTACACTTGTTTGTCCATCTCTTTCAACTATTTTTGGCCTATTTTT